TACCTACATATTGTTTCTTTTATTTGGATTAAGAATTTAGTAAGTTAAAAATTTAGAACACAGATAAGAACTTATTTTTGTAATAAGTACGTATTATCTTTAATTTTTTAGAATAAAAAAATGTATTCACATTTTCATCACCTGAAGCATAAACCTGTTTCTTATCATATAAAATATTATTTATATTTGTTTGTGTATCATTTTCACATGTTCCTCACGTGAAGTCATATTATATTGTTCACTTTCAATTTAAGTTTTTATTTATATTTACTTCGTTCTGATTTGACCGCAAGCTCAAAAATGCATTTAATTAATTTTCATTATCGGAAAGATTTTGCCTGTTGTGCGTTTTTGACCTTGGTTTTTGTCATTGTGACTCCTTGATAATATCACACTATACCACAGAGTCTATAACATTCAATTTTCCTATTTCAATTATATACATACAAAACAACATAAAAAAAAATAAATAAAAATTGAATCCCTTTGAAATCTGACATATTCTGAATGTACGTATGTGTATGTTATTGTTTACGATTTATGTTTGTTAGAGATGGATTTCATTTAATATAGCATACATAATGGCCTATGGTACACTGAATATTTCCTCATTGGATTAATTGTTATTCTGCGTATTAGCCTCATAAGCAGGGTTTTAAGTGGCAAAAAAGGGCGAGGGGATCTCTAACCCATATATCATTCTCAGCGTTCCATATGGTCTCGTACAATTACTAGATAATTAATTATAAATAGGTATATATATATTATAAGGTGTTAATAGTGAAAAATTTCATTCACAAATTTTTCATGTGATGTAAAAATGTATAGATTTTTAAATTACTTATTTATTGTGTGAAATAACAGATATAAATATAATTCAATAAAATAAATACAACTAAAAATACGTATATATAATAATATATTACAATATAATTTATAATTAACATTTAATATTGGTTATTTTTGTATATAGAACACTATTTAACATCAATTGACTACAGTTAAATTACAAAGTTCATTTTTTAACTGTTTTATTTTGTATGATTGTTTTTAACAAACAGTTGAGCGTTTCAGTAAATATTTCAGAGAAATGTTAAGAGGGACGCTTTATAAGCCCTGTGAGAGGTGAGTGAGTACCCTTGCGTCCTCACCCACTTTAAGCCTTGCCTATAAACCTTAGAAAACTTTAGTTATCTACGCCACACCATTGTTTATTTCTCAGTTAACAATCATATTCGATAATGGTTACTGACGTACATTCATTAATGTGTTAATATTTTACATTCTAGTATTTTTTTGTTTATTCAAATACAATTTCAACGAAAGATTTTTGCACATTTCCAAATATTTGACCTTTTTTAATACAATTTGTCATTGATTTCATTTGTTTACTACTAATTCAAAGAATATATTTTTAATATTTGCCCTTCAGTTTTTATATATATTTTTCAAGTTACAGGTATTGTTAAAAAAATTTATATAAAAGTTAGTATAATATATTGCATAATATAGTATGAAATTAAATAAATTAAATTATTGTAGTAAAATATGAAAATCATTTAAACAAAATATATTTTAATCTAACAGTTAACTAATTTTACAAGTTAGAATAAGTAAAATATTGTTCTATATTTTGATAAAAAAAACTATTGTGTCCTTTAGGAGCTATTTATAGCTGTACGGAAATATTTATTTTTACTCTAAAAAAATGATATTACTATAGTGATGTATTTAAAAATAATTTACTATAAAATATATAAAATTCTTTATTCATTGAATACATGCAATATGCAAAATAAACACAAAAACAAAAAATAATTATTTGAGTTATTGTACCTACTTAATAAGGTGGCATTTTTATTATATCATCATGTACAGAACAACACCTTCGCCTTGAGCAATTTTTTATCAAAACATGTATTATATATTAAGTATATTTAGTGACTAGTTCGTTTTTTATTATTATTATTAGATTATAACCAGGTTTTATGTATGTATTGTTATTGCTTATAAACAAATTATTAACACACAATTCTTAAATTACATTAGATATAAGTTTATTGGTACTTCGGAATAAGAATTAATTGTTAAAGTTTTAGTTATTATTTTACTAAATTTAGAATTGTGTTATAAAATATGAGATCTATTTATATTAATTATATATTTAAACATTATGGCATAATATTTTGTAAAACTAAACATCGTATGTACAAATATTATCATGAATGCTTTTATCATAATGATATGGTAGTTAAAAGATAAAAAATTAAAAATTTTAACGTTCAATTTAAAATACTCTTGTTGGTTATAAAATTATATTCTCTAAAATATTTCATATATTGAGGTTATATATATAATTTTGTCAACAATATTTATCAAACTTATTTGAATGTAAGGGCGGATCTATCATCTATTTATGATAGAGACACTACAGAAGAAATTATATAGTATAGCTGATCATAAACGTTATGTAGGGATATCATGGGTGGATTAGACCTTCCTTAAAATAATTTGATAATATGGTACTAAAACTGTCAACATTTATTTATCTTATCTTTTATTTAATTCTTCTAAATATGCTTTATTTTTAATATTATTTTTTTCACAAAGACACATTTAACCCCAGTGCCGCCTCCCTTTGGATCCGCTTATGTTTTAATGTCTTAATCGTTTACATAATTTAGCTTATTAGACAAAGTACGTTTGACCCGCGTTACTATATTAGTAATAATATCCCAGTGTTTGTTGTTTCGACTTCAGAATTTTTTCTACAATAATTTATGATCCCATTCAATATATATGGACAATAATTTTAGTTATATTTTCAAAAACCATTGATTGGCGTTTGTCAGTCAACACATTTTTATATCACATAAATTATCTTTCCACATCTACAAAAGTAATAGGTGCGTATTTGAAAAATAAATCATTTAATTCGGAGATAAATCTTCGCCGGTTTGAATTAATTTACTTTCGCTATTTAAAAATTTTAATATTTTAGTATGTCGTAGTTTTAATTTTTTTATAATACAATACAATTTTCTTAAGCAGATTTACCCCTTATATTACAATACCTAGTACTTATTTCAAAAATATCAACAAGAATAATAAACAAAAAGACATCGAAATATCGTCGCCTCAGTTCAAGACTGCAATAACACAGAAAAACTTTTATTGAGATATCGACGCCTCAGTTTAAGATATCAATAACTCAAAAATCAGAATTAAGTTATCTACGTGATATTATTTGCAAAATTACGACGATTTCGATTCTATAACGCAATAACTTTTAGTTGCATTATTCATCTCTAGAGGTCGCTTATTTCAATCAAGAACTAGTATGTAGTTTCATAATTTGGGTTATTGCAGTTTTGAACTGTGGTGTCTATATGTACTATAAGATAAAATATGTAATTAAAAACCAAACATAAAATAAAAATAAATGAGTAAATATTGAAATATTTAAAAATATACTCTAAAAAATTTGATTGTTTAAATGGTTGTCATATAAAAATGTTGTGCTAACTTAGCATATCATACAATCAACCAGAATAAATATGCAATTACATATAAATTAACGCTCTGGTGATGACTATATAATGTGTTTATAGGTATAATCGTGTAAATTAAATAAACAGTACATCACTAAATGATTTAATTCGTATTTTAATAGACCCCTAGTTTAAAAACTATTGTAATCGCATTGAGTTATTAAATTATATTTTTAATTACTGTTGTAACAATAATTATTATTCTCTAATGAGTGTAAAACCATTAGAAAATAATGTATTATTTGTTAATTTTAAATACTGTTTCATTTTTATTACTAGCTGAAAAAAATAAATCTTTAATATTCTACTTCTACTTAAATATTATTCATGAAATTTATAATTTACAAAAAAAAAAAATGTTATTTCCAGATATTGGTTTAGCTAACAGTGTTAGGTTATAACATATTAGTATACTCGGATCAGTTGTGAATATTTTTTTAATTAAAATTTCAATGACTAAATATTCTTTATTAAAATGTGTGTAGTGCATTTTATTTTTATACTATAAACACTATATATATATTACTATAAAAAAATATGTCAAATATTTTATATATACGTATTAAGTACAAATATTGTAGTAATTATATTTTTATAGATAAATATTTATACGTTTCATGGTGATTAAAATGATTAAAACAAACATCTCTAATGTAGGTATAGGTATTATGCATACTAATAATAAGTGTCATTATTTTACTGCTCAATATTAAAACTCATCTGTTATAAACAGAAAAACTTTTACCTAGCGTTAAATATTTTTATCACGTAGTGTGATTAAATTTACAATTAAAAATCAATGTTGATTGCAAATAAATTTATAAATAGATTTTTAAAATTTAAATTAATATTCATGTCAGATTGTATTGATTGAACATTCCTAGGAGTCCCAATAGTAATACGAAAAGTAGCAATAATATTGAACACCATGACCCCCCATTGAAAACACGTTGTATTGAATGCCATATCGAATATTGATTGTATAAAATACGATTTGGGTTTGAATAGTAATTGCATTTTTTGTCCATTTATCTATTGTATTTACATATAATTTAATTAGATTATTTATTATGACGTATAAAATATTATGAAAAAAATAAAAATAAAATAAAAAACGAATGAAATGAAGCCAATTCACAACTATTATGTTTACCTTGACCGTATGAATCTTGTTGGTAAAAATTATGTGTTTTACTATTAGAATTCCAAGGGCTTCACAATGTATGTTCATTAGTATGGAAGTGACAATATTGCATTATGTGTATCTACGTGCGTATTTTTTTTAGAAGACAGTAAGCGGAAATCGATATTGTGTCGAATCAATAGTCTTATACTTGTGCGTTGTGTACTTATTATTTAAATAGATATAGTTATAACTAATGTGTGTATTCATTAGGGCGTTTGTGTTAGTTTGGTTTTATTAAATGATGGTTTTATTTATTTTTTCAGCAAACTGATAACGAATGGAAGAACTCACAATGTGATTCTGTAACGAATTCGAAGAAAAGCCACAAAAAAGAAAACTCGCTATTAAAATTTTTGGCATTGGTGTGTATTTTAATAATATTTTAATACTACATTTTTTAACAATATTAAATTTTTTATTTTTGTAGAATGCTCTGGAGTTAAGCGCACCCGCCAGCGATGTTCTTTTACGGAAAACTTACACAACTACTGGAAAAATAGATTCCGAAGATCGAGTTAAATCTCAAGAAAGTATATCTGTTCAATCGGGAACGTGTAAAACCACCGCCAGTATTCAACAACAATCATGGTTTCAGTTATCTGGACACCCAGACTGTTTTGCTCCAGCTGGTCTGGGAACTATTTGGAAAAAGTGTAGTGGTGGTACAGAGCGTGATGTATATGAGGCATTATCCAACGAGCCTAGTCTTCAAGACATTGTGCCTAAGTATTATAGGGAAGTCGAATATAATGGGCAGACCTTTATTGAACTACAAGATTTATTATATGGCTTCAGAGATCCTAATGTTATGGATATAAAAATGGGCACTCGCACATTTTTAGAATCAGAGGTTAAAAACACTTCTGCACGACATGATCTATATCTGAAGGTAAAATCTGATTTTAATATAATGTGTTAAACTTAACTATAATTATTAATTCTTTTTAATTATAGATGGTTGCTGTAGATTCTGAAGCTCCAAATGCTGAAGAACACAAGTTACAAGCAGTCACAAAACTACGCTACATGCAATTCAGAGAAGAACAAAGCTCAACATGTAGCCATGGTTTTAGAATAGAAGCCATGAAGGTAATAATAACCAATCTATTACTATGCATACCTTTATTATTTCTATTGAATAAAATTAACCATCATAATAATATTACAGTTTCGAGGTTCTCCTCCTGTTACTGATTTGAAGACTGTGAAGAGTGATGAAGAAGTTAATAACACTCTGGCTTTGTTCCTGGGTGACCGCCATGACATCAAACAAAGGTTGGTTGCCAGACTGAATGAGATACGGTCGAAATTGGATCGTTCTCATTATTTTAAAACTCATGAGGTAAGTTGAGAATACATCAAAAACTTAATTTTGTTAATCAACAATAAAATAAGAAAATAATCTTGCAGATTGTGGGTAGCAGTATTTTAATTATATATGATGATACCAAAGTTGGTGCTTGGCTGATTGACTTTGCCAAAACTAGACCTGTACCTGAAAATATGGTACTTACTCACAGACAACCATGGGTGCCTGGCAACCACGAAGAAGGTTTCTTATTTGGTCTTGATCATCTCATAGAGGTAGTTTAACTAATTAAAATTTGATAATGAAATAGTTAACTAATTCATATTTTAATATTTTTAGTCGACTGAGAATTTACATACTCCTATCTCAAAAGACTCAGTGGCACCATCAAGCTCTATTAAAGTGGAAAATTGAAAAGTTATGTTAACTTTCTTAAAAAAATTTTCTAGTCAATAATATAATTGCCAACTCCATATCAAAAGACACATGGATTACCCTTGTTGCCTTGTATCTGTGTTTACATTTTTACACGATGACTATTTTTTTTCCTGTTTATATAAAAGTAATTTTAAGTTTTAATATAGATTTTTTCTTTTTATATATATTTATATTTAAATATTATTACAGTCAGTGGTGACTGACGACTGATTTTTATCCAAGCATTTATAATCAGAAAACTCATAATACAAGTATGAGAATAAAATAAACTTAAGCTCTTGATTTACTAATTTTATTAATTGTCCAGTATTAACATTGTATAAACTTTTATTTTTTTTTTTTTTTTTTTGTATTTGTATCATATACAATTATTTATTTGTACATATGTTTGTTTTATTATTATTGTGATACTACCAAGTTTAAAATTGTTACAACTTTTTTTTTTGCCAATAGTTTTTAATAGAAGAATGTCTATATTTTAGATAAATAAAATTATAATATTTTTTCATAGTATTCTTTCACTTAAGATATTTTATAATGATTAAATTAATTGGTGAATACATATCTAATAGATAAAAGTTATCAACCTTTACAGTATTCAGATATTAAATTCTTATTAGCGTTTTTTTAAATAATTATGTCTTAATTTATATATTTTTTTTTTTTTTGAATTATAAAATGTACATCCATTTAGAAACTATTAATTGTTTATATTATACATTTAAGGAACCAAGCAATTAAATTAAATTACAATTTATATATATATATATATATATATATATATATATATATATATAAAAATATATATATATATTAATTAAATTTAAAGAATAAATTTAAAAAAATAATGAAAATGATTATGTACCTTGGAATTCTAACTAAACATATATATTTATATCCATATATATATATTAATACTGTTAAAAGAACGTATAAAATTAAGAATATTATCTCAAAGCATTATTATTTGCTATTTGCTAGCTCTAAATCAGAATAGTGAAATGTTATATCCTTAGTTTACACTGAAATATACAAATGAAACATAAAATATATAAAAATGTATTTATACAATTATGTTGACAGAACATAATCAGAAAATGAAATTGAAAACATATTTTATTTTAAAATTAGAAATAAAATCATTGAAGAATGCTCAAAAGCGCTACCATTTATATATAATAGCAGAATGCAATTTTCAAAAACAAATTTTACTTTTTACTTTATTTTCTAAAGTAAAATGATTGTTGATATACAATTTATTATTTGACTTATTTCATAATTATCTATTATTGATTAGGCATAGAAAACTTAGCGGATAATAAACGAAGGTCAATAAAAAGGCAACTGTGTTAATAAATAATTATTTTACTGGTATTATGCATTATTATTGTACAAATTATTTTATTTTTTTTGTTTGTTATTACTTTTTATATGGTGACACTGGAACTGCTATGAAAAATGGATGTCAAACCAAATATTTCTACCTGACATGGGACATAAACAATACCTAAATAATATATTTTTTTAACTACAATTCGTAATCAAAATTGGAAACAGAAAAATAATTTTTCAAAAGCTGAATAAAAATACTGAATTATTTAATATGTGACTTTATTCCTAAACATTTGGCCATCAAAACTAATATTTTCACTCTACCTTTTGTTTTAAATGAATATGTCAACCACTTCAAACTACGAGACAAGTGTTATGAACCAGTTTCATAACCATAAAAGAAATTATTGTGTCAATAATATAAGATTATAGTCCAGTGGTGTCCAACCCACGGCCCGCGAAGGTATTGAATGTGGCCTGTTACAATTTTTTTAAAATAAAAAAAAAATACGAGTATTTAAAAAAAATTACAATAATTTTTTAGGGCATGAACTTACGAACCCTGCTTATTAGATATTATTTTCAATGATTGCTTTAATATGAAGGATGTTAAAGATTTTGTAAACAAAATATACGACATTGACCGTTGTCTTTTATTAACATTAATATATAATGCCGCCGGGGTGCAGGGATGTATTTTAGGAGGGAGCAATCGCCCCCCCCCCTGAATCCGTATTTAAGAAATCGATTATATGTGAAACACATTTCAAATTTTTTTGTTATGGATTATTTTATTATAAAATCAAATTACACTTGGCTGTGAATACTGAATTAGACTTTTTATCGAGTATATACTTAGTGAAAAATCAAATAAAACACAAGCGTATATTTCAAAACATAGATAAGTGTTAAAAATGAAATACACAAAAGTTTACTCTAAGTCGATCCGGCATTAGATTAAAAAAAAAAAAAATCACAAATATTAAGAATTCACATAATTTTAATATTATCAAACATTTTACTTGAACATTTGAGTCTGAATTAAAAAAAAAAAATTTTAGCCCCCCCCCCTAGAAGTAAGTCTAAATACGCCCCTGACCTATGATCAAGAGCTCCAGGAGAATGTTGTGTGTCCTTGTTATATAGGGACGTATGGCGGGATGGACCTTGGACCGGTCCTTTGAAGATTAGACCTACTTAGGATGTCAATGTCTTTATTGTTAGATTTGTATTGTCCGTGCGGGTATCGAAGGGACCGTTATTTATTTTTTAAAATGATTTTAAATCATATAATATACATTATTATAAAATATTTGCGCAGTATTGAATGATACACATCATTACAATATATATTATAAAATAGTTATCTATACCTCCACCATAATATTCCCTAACCGCACACGATCGGTGTCGTGGTTGGCAATAGTGCTGTACTAGTCACAACTAGAGTACCTACTATATATATATAAAATCACAATTAGTCCTGTTGGTTTGACAATTTTTGAAGATTGACCAATTTCGATCACAACCGGATTATTTCCATTTCGGTTACTCCAGTAAAACCAAATGATTTCGATTTACACCATAATGAATATCATAAAAGCATTATAATTAAGTATAGGTACATATATGCAGGGCCGGCCCGAGCGAAAATAGTGCACTAGGCAAAATCAAATTTTGCCGCCTCTTAAAAAAACTAATTTAGCTCTTATTTTAACTTAGCTCTATTTTTCTAACATTTCTACCTAAAAAAAAATTATAATTTTTTATTTTACGTATAAGATTATGTGTAAAAAGACTTAAAAATGAATTCCATAGTTATTACTCAAAATTCATCACTATTGCGACTATCAGAAATGTGTAGTTATTTATATTTTCGGAATAATTGGAAACGCCTAGCGTAGGGCCGTAATATAAAGTCATATAATAACTTTAGACAATTTTACTATATAGGTACTTTGGTGGTTTTCAAGAATAAATGATTTTCATTAATTTTTCTTATAAAACACTGATAAAACTAAAAAAAAATGTACGAATCTGAATATCATAATATGATAAAATATGAATAGAAATCAAAAAATATTTCTTAAAATACATTGAGAACCATGAACATATAAAATCAGTGTCGTCTTAAGTCCCGAAATTTTAAAGGCCCCAACTCACATAGAGTATATAATTTACTAAATATAAAATTTAAATTTTTTTTTTCTTAAAATGTTTTTAATATTAGTCTTGAAGACTCGAACGAAAAAATATTAAAATTAGCTTTGTATCAAAATACTAAATTATATAATTGGATTAATTTCTAAATTTTAAATTTATTCCTGGTACACACGTACATACATTATTTTGACGTGCGCTGTGTTATCGTTATTTTGATTTATTTTAAAAAGTTAAGAAATACATTGTAAAACATTGTAAATCCATTGTAAAACATTTGCGGAATTTTATCATATAGACATTAATGAAAATAAATTAATTTTAGAATGTATATACTTAGCGTATCTATAGAAACTTAATATATCTGAATTCAGTAATTCTACTACACACAAATGTTTAAAATCAAATAGACTATAAAAAACATTTCAAAACATAATAATATCTTTCCGAATTTTTTTATCAATGATGATTACGAACTGTAGTGGGGAACGTTCATATTCTAAGTTAAATTTAATTAAAAAAGAACTTAGAACGACCATGAGCCAGAAACGGTTAAACACGTTATCTTTAATGAGTATTGAACATGAACTACTATCAAGTTTGGATTATGAAAATGTTATAGAAACCTTTGCAAATGAAAAAGTTAGGAAGAAACCATTAAAGAGTACTGAATATTTGACAAATTTATATCAATACTTATATTGTTTTAATGTTGTATAATGACTATTATTTTAGTTTTTGTTTAATTAATTACATTTATTTTTAACTATGAAATATATTAATATATGAATAATTAATGTCTAGACATTTTAATTAATAGGAAAGTATTTTTGACGTATATACCTATTTTTATATTAAAATAAACAATAAAGTAACAGTGATTTAAACAAAAATTCACTTTTTACTAATATAGTATAATATTTAATAAATAATAATGCATTGTGTGAAAATATATATATATATCATAATTTAGTATTAAAAGGCTCCATAAAAACCTTAAGACGGCTCTGTATAAAATTACAATATAAAGTACGTAAATAACCTATTGACCTTTTGTATTATTAGCTAAAAATATCAGCATATCTACATTTTTACTGAAAAGGCAGTTTCGTTTAGCTGTTATAATATTACTAGTTTTATAGAAAAGTCTCTTATCAGCAGTCGAAGTTCCAAAACTCTTGAATATTTTTGAGAATTTTGATAATCTTATCTCATTTTGCTTCCACCACAGATAGGATCATTATTTTTTATCTATTTGGGTTTCCTCTCCATAAATTGGACTTAAATAGCTTATATATTGGACACAAGAATGATTTACTATTTGATTGCCTAATGGAAATAAAAAAATCAAAAACTACGTTTCTCTTCTGTGTCTCGATTAGGGGTTTCTTGTCTAAATCTAAATCTCTGTTATTAATTCTTTTAAACTACATTTTATTTTATTGACAATGCCAATTTCTGGATCAAACTTTTTGTATCTAGGATCAAAAAATATGCAAAAGTCCAATAATGTTGGTCGAGAATTACCCATCAAGCTTTGGTCATATCTCGTATTAGCTGAGAATTAGTAACAAAATCTGTTTTAATGGCCAATTTCAACGATAGCTTAATTAACTAGATCAAATATAGTTTTTTTTGTAAATTAATATTTAAAAACAATTTTGGCTTTTAAAACTTATAATTTGGTTATGTTGTAAACAATTTTCAAAGATTGCTAAAATTCAAATTTATTTTAATTATAAGTATTATAGAAATATTGAATAGAAAAAAATTACTGCAATAGCCAAATAGACCTGTTAAACTCTCTATATATATAAGACCAACATCAAAAGCCTTTTGAAATGATAAAAAATGTTGTAATTATTTTGACATTTGACCGATTTAACCTTATTGAATTAATACTAAAATATTTGGTCAAGATTATTGTTACAGTATTGGCCGATTTAACTGATATTCCGAATTAAGCTAGTGGTCGGGTCGGTTGAATGGTTAGTAATAAATCGGTCTGATCTAACAGCACTAGTCATGAATATAAAGATGCACCGCTGATTGTATGCATGGGCTATATATAGATAATAAAAATATATTAATATTTTAAGCGGCAAATTTTAATTTCAAAAAATTCAATATAAAACAAGTTATTCTCTAAGCAGCGGTTTCCAAACTGTGCACCACCGTGCCCAACATGCACCATAGGCATTTTCTAAGGGCAACGTGGTTACGGTTCATAACAAATAGTTTAAAATGTATAGAATTTTTTTCTTATTTGTTTGAAATATTTTCTATTGTATATTCGGACATTTTCAATTTAACCTTATAATATTTTTATGTAATAATTATAATAATAATAACAATAATTTTTATTTATTTACTTTTTAATTTTAAAAATTCTTTAATTTATAATTAAGTTAAATTTTAATAAAATTAGTTATCATTGAGTATTTTTTTTTCCTATATTTCATGTTATTTACAGCAGAGCACCGTGGCTAAATTGAGTCCAAAAAAAGGTACTGCAGAAAAAAAAGTTTGGGAACTGCTGCTCTACAGAATACCATGACTGTTAAACAAAACCAAATATTGTATCAATACAAATTATATATTTTCGTTATTCCTACTGAAATATGTAGTAAAATACTAGAAAGTCTAGTAGTATACTTATTTTGTAAAATTACTTTTTCGTGTGAACTGTGTAAGAAATATTCTTATAATATAAAATATAAATGGTAAAAAATCAAATTTTTTTAAACGCAATATTTGCAACAGTAGTTTTCTTATATAAAAAAAAAAAGGAAAATTATTATTAATTGAAAATTTAAATTCTGAGCATGAAATGTCCATCAATAAAGAAGTTATACAGTTCAATAATTTTATAAGTATATATCAACTCTGACTAGTTTTTCACTGCAATATAAATTGTTTGTTAATGGTTGTTTTTTGTTTTTGTTTTACTTTATTAGGTATACGTATAGAAAACAATAAATAATACATTTAAAGACTATAATACCTAATGCACATAACTATAAGAAAAAGGATACACCATGTTTTATATTATTTATATTTAATGTACTACATTGATATTTAGTATGTAGTAGTTATTTTACATTTATAAAATTCAAAAGATTTATGTATACATTTATTTGTTTTTTGGTTATAATGAGCAAAAGAGAGCTTCCTGATAGATTATAATAAAAATTACTTAAATATGGATTAATTGAACAATTTATTATTCAGTTCATACAACTGCCAATACCACAACCAGTGGCGTGCATACGGCGGGGGGGGATCCGGGTTCAAACCCCTCCCAAAGACAAAAAAAAAAGAAAATTGTTTTATTATCGATGACGTGTAATATATTCGTAGATTCATTATTACGCTTTGAACTTAAAATATACAACTATACAAATATTATGATAATTAAATAATTATATTGATAGGTGCTTGAAAAGTTTTGTTAACAATGCTGTTTTTATATTCCAATAGCCAGGGGCGGATTGACAACTATTTTCGGCCCAAGAAATATGAAACAAACCGACCTATGAACCACAAATTAAACTATTTTAATCCTTCCCCCTCCCAAAAAAATGCTTTATTTTGCATCAATTTCAAAATTTGTTTAGTTTCACTCCTAAATTAGTAAAATGTACAATAACTTTACTATAATTATAGCTATTATAGTTTTGAGTAAGTTACATGATTAATCAGTTCCAACTTGAACTTGAAGTTTGATCTTAATGCATCTTTAAATTTATATTTATTTTTTTAATGGTTTTTATTTATTTTACAAAATATAACTTTTTGGGGAATTATATAATAATAAAGAGCGCCCCAAACAAGGACCGATCCATCGGGAAGATTCTCGATTTCCCGATAGGCCAATCCACCCCTGCCAATAGCTATTAATTTACTGTAATATAAAAGTAAACTGTAAATTGGTATAAAAGTTGTATAAAATAATACCTATTTATAGCAGTTATTTATCTTATTTATCTGTGCAACGAAAAAAAAAAGATAACAATTATTTTTGTTAACACCCCCCCCCCCCCCAGAACAAGATTGAATGTACGCCACTAGCCACAACTGCCTAAGGTGTAGAATGTACAAGGCAAATGTGATGTAAGACGTATTAAAAAATTCATAATCGTAGTTGCGGCACTTAGTTATATTTCGTATACTTATTTGAATGTTTTTACACGAATGATTTTTTTTCGATTGTATTTAATTACAAACATTAAACGAAATAATATATATATTTATGTTTTCAATTTTAGCTTTACTTTTTTTAATATGATTTGCGGTTTGTATGTAAAATTAAAGTAATTAAATAATTAAATTATAAATTTATAAGCTATTTCCATTATTCATGAATTTTGTAAGCCTTTTTCTACACTTTCCACGGCTTTCTCGTATTTTTCGGAAGTATTTATTGAATTTAACAATTATTTAATATTTATAATTCTTTTTTTCATATATAGATATTTTATTTACAAGTTTTAATATATTATAAAATAAATAATATGGAATCAACGGTATTAAAATGGGACAATCTTCTAAAACCGGTGTAAAAAGCGTCCCTTACGAAGTTTGTCGGGACAACGGGATGTGATGATCAAAAAAGACACAATCCCATTGTAAACGGGATGTCTGGTCACTCTATGTTATACTTATATGAAACAAATCCGCAAAAACAAAAACGCATTCCTTATTTTAATCGTACAATAATATTTGAATTAGAAATCACATGGAAAATATATAAATAATTTTTTTTTTGTTAGGTTGAAATTACCATTGGTGGGATTTATACTTTTTGATGTTGGCAACAACAAATTTGAAAATTAAACTTATCAATTTATTTTATAATTCTGATTTTGAAAGAAGAGTTCTTAGACGCTCAAAATGAGCGAATCAAGGTGGATATATATATATATATATATATCCACCTTGGAGCGAATAAAACGTAAATTGATAAGAATGTCGTTTACTGTGTTTCATGATTAGACATCCCATATAACAATAACTTCAGTGATGGCAAAACGATGATAACATTGCTATGGCGCCAATGTAGAACCAACCTATGGATTTCAAATGTTTGATCAAATACTCTGTCCTTATTAAATAGTTTCTTCTTATCGATTAGCATTCGTTATTCTGTAGACCAGAAATTCGTAAAATTTTAAGCGATTACTTACAAGGATGAGTGCCGGTGATTTTATGTGCGACAAGCACTTTAAATTATTACTGAGTGAAAACAGAAAGATTAGAAAACAAAACTTGGATGAATTGACAAAGATCGTGAGTGACGAAAAGTTCAAAATTTCCCCAGACTTTATGTTGGCTATTAAAACGTATGTGTATCCGTGCTTGAATGATAGTTCTGAAGCATGCCGGGAATCGGCCATTAACCTAATGAAGGTTTTAGTGTGCTTGAAGTGTGTAGATGACATTGCCCCAATTATTTTTACCGTACACAAGCGTATGGGTAACATAACATTATTAGAAAATTCAGAAGAAATTAGACTGTTGTACATCCAGCTGTTATGGGATATCACCAAAAATAATGGACACTTGATTTTACCATGTTTGGATGATGTGGTTAGTATTTTGGTAAACGGCATTGTGGATCCATGTCCTGCTGTTAAGAAAGAAAGTTGCTTGTGCGTAGTAGAAGTAGTTAATGCTACCAAAACGCATTTTCATATGGTAGCTGAATCGCTTATTGAACCTCTATTAAAAACAACAAATTTTCATCAATCAGCTGTTAGATATACAGCAATCCAGTCTCTAAGTAAAATTTTAATTTTCTTGGTTTTATAAAATGTATATATTCATACTTGTGTATAAATGTATTTATATGTTTCTAGATTATGTCATTATGTACAGTAATGGAAAACAAGTTCCAGAAGTATGTACTGCTATAAGCGAAAGACTTTTTGATCAAAATGTTAATGTCCGTTTAGCTCTATGTCGTGTTGTAACTAATTGGATGTTAAACCTACCTGATAGGTATTCATATTTTGCAAAACTTGTTCCTTTAATTTTGACTGCGTAAGTCTATTCTAGTATTTTATAAATATGTATGTCTGATTTTTATTTTATTTTTCTTTGTAGTCAAGTTGACAACCATCAGCCAAATCGTGAAGAAGCTGAACGCCTCTGGGATGAAATTGGAAATCAATATCTAAATGAAAATGAAGTAAAGTTCAAAGACAAAATGGATTTTTTACCTGATAATTTAGATCATTATCCTCCGAATGGTTGGTATTCTTTATTATGTCATTATTTTGTTTTTCTTTTAATGATTATTATACATATTAATTTATCAACTATAGACATATTTTAATAAATAATATGAATTGTATAAATTGCAGTCAAACGACCAAATTTAGGTTGTCGTACCCTAGTTGCTCAAGAAGTATTAAAGTTACTCCCTGTAATAATTCGTGAACTAGATGATTGGGTAAGCATTGTCAAATTACTTATATGTTATAGAAATCAATCTATTATAAATCTTTCTATTGAACTACAAAAACTATAGAAAGAAGATATAAGTATTAAATCAGGTCAACTATTGTGTGTGGTTGCGTTGAATGCCGAAAATTCTATAATTCAGCATTTAAATCAATTATTAACTGCCATGACTAAATGTTGCAGACAACCAAATCATTCAGCATCAACTCATGTATGTCTTACATCATTTATGAATAAGAATTATTTATAAAGAATGTACTATTTTAGGTTCGTCAGGCTGCAGAAATTATGAGTTACTTCATATCACCAAGTGTTTATTTGAAATTATTGTTACCTGCCATAAGTGATTCTGAACCACATTCAGGTCATATGAACATTTTATCTGGATTATTAAAAAATGTTCAATCTGCTGAATTATCCATACATGTAGAATCTATAATTACTATATTAGTAAAACCAGAAATTTGTGAAATACATGACCCTTTATTCAAAAAATATTTACTTCAAGTAATCGAATACATATTAGTTGCTTGTAAATCAGAATGCCAGAAATTTTCTTATGATATTTTTAAAATCTACATAACTGTTCAAACTACAACTATGGATGAATTTGACAATCATTGTAAGTGTTATTATTAAAATCAATAAATAATGCGGCAATTTAAAATTTATTTTTCTTCAAATTTTTTTATTAACTCTATTTTATATTATTTCATTGACTGAAATATTTTAATTATAGAGTATAATTATATAATTATATGATTGATATTATTTTTATTAATTTATTTACTATTTTTCATTTAGAATTTTCTAAAAAAGTTCCTATATATTTATTTCTATACCCGTCCTTCCATTTTTCTATATTTTCTTTTTAAAATATAATTAAAATGATTAATTTGTTTGGGTATAAATATATTTTTTATTTTTAGTAATTTTTAAAGAATTAATTAATATGTGTGAACCAAAAACTAAGCAACAACTTTTCAAAAAACATGGAGAAAAGTTATTAAATGAACTTAATGATAGTTGTGATTCATGGATGGTGCATTCACCTGGAAGAAAAGTTCTTGATAAAATTGCCACAGATGCTGGTTAGTGCTTATAATTTTCTTACACATACATAATTAAAATTATAAATATTTTTTATTTTTAGAATATGTGATTTTAAATTGTTATGAAATCTATTTGCAAATACTTACAAAATGTTTAAACAACTTTGAAAAAGATCCTAAATTTCTTATGAAAATATTAATTAACATAAATACTTGTGTGAATAAAGATATTTTCATTGATAAACAACTTTGGCAACTTCTTTCTGGTAAAATATATATTTTATTTTTTTAAATAAAATATAGTTGTAAAAATGTTTTCTCTTGAATTATACTATAGGTTTAGTGTTCCCCTTTTTAACATGGCGACCTGGTAAAACTGCAGAAAGTTTAAGAGCTGCTTCGTGTTTTTGTGCACAAAGTATAATCAATAAATTAACATGTTACAATGATATAATTTTACAACAAGTAATTGACATTTTTTTATTACAAATATTATATTTTAAAGTAATATAAATTGTGTTGTAGATTTTTCCATTATTTTTGGCTCTCGCAGATGACAATCACAATAAAACTCGTGAGTGTGCATTAGATTCCTTATATTCTATAGTTAGTGCTGCCAAGAAGTCAAATAATATAGATGGAGATATAATAAACAATATTACTAGAGGTATAGTATTGAATACAAATAATTTAAAGAATTTAAAGATCAAAGATAAAAATAATGAAAATATTTAGTTGCTCTAGCTCGTTTAAATGATAATCCGGGAAATACTCGCTTCAAAGCCATAAACTTGCTCAAAGTTACATACATAAAACCTCTTCCTGAAGATTATTTATTACATTACGAAGCTCACATTACTCAATTGTACAAAACCCTAGTAATATTTTTGGATGATGAGAATATACAAAAATGTATATTAGGTAATGAATAATGTTTAATATTAATGAATGATTTCTGAAAAGTTAACAGATAATAGTTACATACACAATTATTAAAAACATTAATTTATTGATGCAACAAACAGCAGAACAAGTCTTCTAGTTAATTATCTTTACATATTGGTTATTTTTCAATATCAAACTTAATTGATTTAAAATAGTTTTAAGAAGTTACAAACATATACTAACACACACCTTTTAATAATTTCTTTAAAAAAATATAAATTATTTTTCTGAAATTATTATTCAATAATTAATTTAGTTATATTTAAATTTTCTAATTTTGTTTTTTTTTTATTTAGATTTATTAAAAGAACTTTCTTGGATGAAACCTGATATTCTTGCTAAACATGTCAATGTTAATGTTTTTTCACAGAAACATTATGCTCAAAACTTGATGGATTATTTGTCTAATGAATTAAGTCAAATTTTACTGGACACATAAATACAAAAATAATGATATCAACAATTATATGTATTCTTAACAAAGTAAAACCAATAACAAAAGTATCTTTTTAAATTGTATTAAGTTTTAAGTAAAATTATTTAATTAAATACATTTATAAATAAAATATTTTATATACATTTTTTTTTAAAAAATTGAATAGTGAAATGTACCAAAATATGTGTACATAGTAATATGGTATGACTGTGACATACATGGGATTCAAATTTAACAGAAGATCTTTATAAAATATGAGCTAAATATTAGCCAATAACAATTATGGTCATTTGTCAGGGTACTAGAAAATACTAATAAGTCTACAAAAATAATAATTTGGCTATATCTATTAATTGTATCCATTTTATGGTATTTAAAATATTCCATTGAATAATTTATATTATAATTTAATTTAGAGTTTGTATTCTATTTTAAAAATACCTAAAAATTGTATACTGAAAATAACCACAAAAATATTTTTACCAAGTTACTAAACTAGGATTTATTTCAGTTCATAACTTTTATGATTGATTATTGGATAGATTAATAATTCAAAACACTTTTTACATGATAGTTTTCAACTATTTTAATAAAAGAAATTAGTATTACCACATATTAATAAATCCATATCATAAGTGTTAGATAAAAAAAAAAAACTTTATTGTAACTTTAACATCTTTAAAAATGTATAAAAGTATAAATATAATTAATAATAAAACGTTATAAAAAAAACTTTATTGTAACTTTGACATTGTTAAAAATATATAATTCTATATAATTAATAATCATGAACATTATTAACTATTATTAATAACTATTAAGGAAAAAAATGTTTAAAATTTTAAATATCAACAAAAATTAATTTACTCTTCAATTTTCTGTATGGCAATACTTTTTGATTCAACACCAGCTTTTTGAATTATATGCCACTTTAAATTATAAGTACTAACCTTACGTTTCACCAACTCAATGTCATCAAGATTATTGTTCAAATTAACAGTTAATATATCATCATCACCATTTACAAACTCTGATAAACGTGTATGAAATACTTCCCAAAATGATGGTGGCCAACGAACATTTTCATCTTCTTGATATTTCTGATCCAAAAAAGTAAATGAATGAATATTCTTGTTGAATTCTCTATCTTTTTCTAGCATTTTAATTTCATCTAGTATACTAACATTTTTAGGTTCAAGTTTTAATGCTTTTTTAAGCTTATTATTTGCTTCAGAAAAATCTTTCAGTAAGCGTAATGCTTTACCCCAATTAAAAAATAATTTAGTGCTAAACTTGGAAAATCTTTCTGAATATTTCATGGCTTCTATACCCATACGACATACTTTATTAAAAGCACATTGCTTTAAATAGCACAGGCTTAAATTTGTATATAGTTTGTTCAAATATTTCATAATTTCTACTTCTTCATCATCAGAATTGCACCCAATTAAATGTAACAATTCTATGGCCTTCTCATATTTAAAAATAGCTCTTTCTATATTTCTAAGTTTAAATAGCTCATTACCTTCTTTATGTATTTTTTTTACTTGAACCATACTTATATTAAATCTTTCAGGATCACGGCTATCTTTATCATATAATAATGAATTTTCTGGTGATAAATAAGAAACCAGATGGACATCAAATAAAATAGTGGCGTTTGGTGGTATACGAGGTGGACAACCCATTTCCCTGTATGCTAATTCTGGACTAACTATGAATCTTGCATTTTCTCCAATTCTCATAGTTTTTACACCAATTTCTAATCCGGGTAAAAGTTCATAGTTACCCAAAGTAAAACGTTTTGGTCTTTTGCCTTGAAGATAGGTTACATCAAATGGTTCATGAAGGTTTGATATATAAGCAATATAATGTAAAAAGACTATATAGTTTTCAGGTACAACTTGACCAATTCCTATAAATACAAATTAAAAATTAATAACTTATAATAATTAATTTAAAGTCTGAAATTAAAACATCTTTTGTAATACTGTAGAATAATTAATTGACTAAAATAAAATATTGATTTATATTTGCATAAACTTCTCTTAAGTATTAGTTGTACCATAACAAAAATAACTTTAACTGTTAATAAACAACAGGAAGAAATTAAAAATTCAAAAGTAGTACAAATATCACCTACTGGCATATAGTTAATTTAAAAATTTGAAGGTTAGTTATTTTATAAATTATTTACGTAAACGTAAATTACGACTTCTTAATAAGAATATTCTTACTCACCAGGATCCAACAATATCTTTAAAACTGACCGATCACCTGTAAGATCTTCATGATTAGTGGAAGTAAGTATGTTACTGAAAGATTCTAAATTATCACTTTCCTCTCCTAACATATCAAAATTGATAAATTCTTCCAAATCTTTTTTAACATATGGGGAATAATCTTCATTGAAGTTGGGTTCTATATTTTCAACTGTGAAACAATGTCCAGATTGTTTATTCAGTATTTCTTCTGATGCTTTCTTCAATATACTGTCTATTTCACATGACAACTCTTTTTCGTCAGACATGGTATATAGACGTTATTAAATAATGAATTTCACCGTTAACAAATATTATATCAAAATTATCGATTTATGAATTACAAAAATTAATTATGATTTACTAAGCCTAAAATATTGTTGACGAGAAAAAAAATAAATAATTCGTGAATTATTTAAACATACAACCGTTAACAATTAACCTGCTCGATATTATATTGACATAATCACCAACTTCTGAACACGTGGTAGAGCTTGAAAATGTATTCCATGGCGGTATGAAGCACGAACTATATCTATATATCATAAATTTATATATTAGTTTGCAGTATAAAATGTATTAAAAAGAAACAAGATAAGTTATCAATAACCATAGATAACCATAGATGTTTTCACACAAGTTTTGTCTAACCTTAAAATCGACATATGTAGTAATGAAATACGATAACAATAATAACAACGTGTTTCGTTCCAAGTAAAATTAAAAGATTTGAAGGATATAGTCATTTATGGTTATTGTAGACACTTAAAAAAATGGAAGACATTTATGAAGTGTTAAACAAAAAAGCGGCTTTAGATGAGGCAGCACAACAAAGTGTGAGTGTAACCAAAATATTAGAACCAGAAATTGATTTGGGTACACTACTATCTTTTGATTCAAATGATTTTGACACTAAACAGCTCAGGTAAAATATGATTAAAGTATTTTTCTTAAATGTATGTACGTGTCATTTAATATTATATTTTCATAACTAAAAAATATATTAATATTTATATTTTGCTGTTTACAGATTGGACCAAGAGGCTTATTTGAAAAGTGAAACTAGAAACAATGTACAGTTAGTATTAAATAAATTATTTGAATTGCCCATGAAAAATGAAGATGGATATATGTATGTCGATTTACCAGAACCGAGATATAATTTACCTCGTGAAAAACCATTACCAAAACCTAAACCACTTACTAAATGGCAGAAATTTGCCATTGAGAAAGGAATAAAAAAAACTCCTAAACCCAAAGCTACATGGGATGAAATATTACAGGTATTTATTTATGTGCATTATTTTCTTTTTCAATTAAATTTTCTGTGATATTAAAATTTAATTATAAAATTATTGATTTGTATGATATGTATGAGTGTATGATGTCTAACTTACTATTTATTAATCAGTTATTTTACAATGAATATATTAGTATGTATATATTTTTGAATAATTGAACTTGAATATATTTGATTAGTATTTGACATGTTTAACCTTTCAACAACAGTTCATACATTGGTAATTATCAAAATTTTAATTAATTTATTAAATAATCAAAATTTTAAATAAATACTAATTGTTCAATTTTTATGATACTTAAAAAAAACTGGGTAAATAAAATATGTAATATTTTCTTTTATCTATTGAAGTACAATTTATTATAAAAATGAAATTTTTGAGTTTTGCGTGATGAAAGTTTTTTGTATACTTAATACAATTTTACAATCTGTTTTTGTAAAATTTTTATTAATAGCATCGTGATAGTATACAATTTGCTAGCATAAAGCTTCCCAACATCAATATAATGCCTGTATTATTTTTTGGGCCTTTGTCATTTATTGTATTAGATACATTGTATTAATTAGTCTGTCAAATGACTGTCTTTTTAATTTTGTGTTTGTTGATATTGTTGTTTCTTTCAAAATTGATTTATCGTATTACAATGAATATTCATCATATTTAATTTTATAAGACTTTATGTACAAGATCATAGGCGCAAATAGCGTTTGAGATTTGGGGGGCTGAAGCCCTAGGTACTGAAT